TAAAGTTACATTCACACACACACACTTTCACACACACGCGCGCACACACAGGAAGATGTGTAACAGGTGTGTGATGCAAAAAATAAATATGTGAAACAACCAATGAGAGAAGGGAGGTGTGGAAATCACTCCAGCAAAGAAGAAATGCAGAATTTACAGCAGAAGAGACTCACCACATCTTATGTTTGTCTGTTTTACGAAGTGTTTTTACGGTGGAGGACGGCATTCCTTGTACTCCCTGTGTACAAACTCCAAGAATATGATGGAGAGCCTATCGATGGCTCCTTTTGAGGCAGAGTTGCAAAAAGGAAACATGGCTAAAGACAGGACGTATTATGTAGAAGAAATATTAAGACAACGTACCGTTGAGGGTGAAAAACAGGTTTTGGTATGCTGGAAAAACTGGCCAGAGAAATTCAATAGCTGGGTTTTTAAACAGCACCAGATAATTACGGTTCAAACTCATGGTACGACCCTGGTGAAATAACATTTTGCATCAGCATAAAGACGCTCATATTTCTATGATGTCTGTACGGAGTATACATTTTGACTACACTTCAGGGTGGTTGGAGGCTTGAAAAACAACCAGCATCATCTGGAATGATCAAATGGTTAGATCAGTAGAGAAACAGCTCTGTGAATCAGGCAGTCCGTCAATAAAGCATACATTGGTTGAAAAGAAGTATAAATCCATACAATATTCTCTGGTACAGCATCCATCACATGTTCACAATTTTCAAGTACACTTTTTACAAAATAGGTTTTCCCACACCCACTGGTTCCCACAATCATGCATGAAAAGTCATACACCACTCTAAACTTTTTCCGGAATGACAGGTTTTTTAACACAAAGTGCTGAAGGCTCTCAAACACGCCCTCTCTGGACCCAGAGGTAACCCTCCACCAACTCCCTGACGCTTTCCAAGTTGACTCGCTCACAGCGTTCTTTGGTCTGGGTGACACCTTTGACACGTAAGACTACTTTTTACAGGGTCTGGTTTGGTAAGCGTAACTTTTGGGACCGGTGTAGAGGAAAAATTATCATTTAGTAAATAAATGACCAAGCAGAGAGCGCACCAATGAACTAATATATTTCAGATCATCAGAAGTTACATGTAGTAAAGACAATTATTGCAAAAAAACAAATAAAAATGTTAAATCACTTACCCGGATACACAATTTCTTCTTCAGCAGGAGAAGAAGGAGGCTGAATCACTGATGAAAGCTTGTTTTCTAAAATAAAAACCAATACTATATTTATATTTTACTATTTTTTTCTGAAGAACTGAAAATAAATTTAAAAAAAGGATCAGTTAAAGATTTCCCATACGGCGATTCATCTTGTTGACCTGGTGTGTTCACTGACTCTGGTATCTGATTCAAGCAGGTGGAAAAGATGACAAATCTGGCAGCTCAAAGACTGGTGGGATGGCAGCTACCTCTGGTGGAGGAAGAGCAGATTGCAAGTAAGAGTTATGGCAAGATGTATTCCAACTCACCACCTTACTTGTAATCCAGTCCAGATGAGGGTTGTGTTTAATTAACCAGGGGTGTCCAAGGATCAGAGGTGCATTAGGTGATGGTAGGACATGAAACTGAATTTGTTCACAGTGGTACAGACAAAGAAGTTTGGCTCACCAGTATCCTCAGATCTACTGATGAGCCCTTCCTTTTGGCCGAAAGGGGCAGGTGGTGAGGAAATGACCAGTCTGACCACAGTATATGCACTCACCCGCTCCCTGAACAGTTCCCTGAACTGGCTGATCAAAAACCTTCCTCAGCTCAGAAATTAAATTGTCAAAAGATGAACTAATTGCTGGCTGATTATCCCACATGGCAGTAGCCCAGTTTAAGGCATTCACCATAGGAAGGCCCACTATGAAGGTTATTTTTGCACTGTCATTACCAAAGGCAGATGGCTGCTGTTGAAACACTAGTGAGCACTGGAGAACGAAAGCACTACATTTACCAAGATCTCTGAAGTAGGGCTCAGGAAGTGGGAGATGAGGCTCTCTGGGCTGGAGAATGGGTGGTGCGGGAGGGGCGGAAACAGGCAGGCTTGATCTCGAGAGGATTGCTTGGGGTAGAGCTGATTGAGTCTAGAAAATACTTGTTTCACTTGACTTCCAATCTGGGATATATGTGCTATCAATGACCAAAGGTCCCCTGCACCATCCTGTGTCTGCTTGTGTTGTCCAATCTGAGCACCTTGGAAGGCGAGAGCTTGGCGGGCCGAGTCTAGATCTGCTGGGTTCATGTTTGCCAAATCGTTCTGTTGTGTTAAAGAGAGGAACCCACAAGCAGAACACAAACTCGGTTGAATACGATTATCAAAAACAGGGCTTTATTGTAAAACTAATTGGTGGCTGATGAGATGGTGAGGTGAAGCTCCGGCTTGCAGTGGTGAGAGGATAGAGGGGAAAAAAAACAAGTTTAAGTATGTCAACATGAAGGAAAAAACATATCTTCAATTTCACCAACTGGGCAAGAGAGTTCCTAACAAACATGTAGAAATAACGATCTGGCAGAGAGTGACTGAAGAACCAGGGTTGATATACTTCAGGACTGATGAGTTGATGGCACGCAGGTTTAAGCAGTCGGACAAGTGAGCAGGTAATCAGGTCCTCAGACAACCACGGAGAGTGGGAGGAGTCTTGTATACTCCTTTTAAAGAACCATTACATACATCTAGAGTCTTATTTTTTCTCGTTGGACAGGATGTACTGGTAAAGATTCATTGATTTGTTTAATTTGCAATTATTAAAATCTAATACATGCATAATGCATCAGGGGAAAGTAAAGTTTTTGAGTCAATCTATAGATGGTGTTAGCAACAATTTGGGCATTTGCTTTTGGGTGAATGTACAATACTGTCATAAATAACTGTTGGAATTTCCCTGGGAAGATCCTTGTGCCTAAACCTAACCAACCTGCTTTCTGTTTCAATGATGGATGCCAAAACATCATGTGGAGACTACTCCAATGATGTTATTGCCAGAGCTCAGTGGTACAAAGAGAATGGAGGCTTTTAAAACCATAATCGCATAGCAGCATTAATAGCATAATCTTTCAAGAATTATAGATCAAACAATGTCTGTAATAAGTGCTTCTTTTAATTCTTTTAGATACACCGTCCATTCCAATAGACATTTCGAGGATGTCTCGGGTTTATGATTACTGTCCCCTGACTCCCCCCAAATGCACAAACGTGTGTCTATAAGTCAGTCTGAGTTTCACATCATCTGAATTTACATAGCGGATGAGGCAAGGAGGAAGCATAAATAAAAATAAATAAATAAAGCATAAACCATAATTTCTGTTTAAACTGTGTTTACAGTAAATAAGATGTTATATAACTTATACATGTCAAAATACATAAAAGATTTACAGCATTTACTCATGATTTTTTTATTATCCATCCATGGGAAAGGTCTGGGGATCTGAATGTCACCTAAAGGGAAGAAGGGAAATCAGTAGAGAAATACTGTTTTGTGTGAGCTGTTCTGATTTGATTTCCCTAATGATACAAAATACAGGATATAATGCATCCTATTGATATGTACACAGAATATTCAACCCTCCAGAAGAACACACTGCCTGCTGGACTGCAGGAAAAGCCCCTTATTTTTTTTATTAGTTGGTGCGGACCCGATTAAAAAAATTATCGGAATTAAATTAGAGGCTTGTGATGAATCAATCTCAATTAATCGCCATATCAATTATTTGACCACGAGAAGCAAGCCATTTTTCAAATAAATGGATTTTGGTAGGCCCATGGACTGAATCAATGAATAGACACATAAATGGGAGCCTTAAACTACCACGAGAGTGGCCCGAGCGTCACTGGCAATCCACTTCGCCAGTGCGTTTAGTAATTTTCTCAGTGTGGATTTACTCATTTTGGCCGCTCTGAACCTCTGTCATCTTGTCGAGGGTGTGGATTGGTTGACACTGGCCTGCTCAACTCTAGGAGCGGTTGGTCTGTGCTAGCTTTCAACATGTGTGGCATTTGGTAGCGGAGGCCTGGAAGTGGCTCCGGTGATAGGGGCAAACATTCTTTTTTGCAGCAATTTGCACAACAAGCTGTGCTGTTTATCCAGGTTTTCACCCGGTAGTTTTTTAAACTAAATACTTCCGCCCCAACCGAAACCGAGGCACCCTTTCTCATCTTCGTGTCTCCTGCTGCATCAGTATTACGGCGGTTGCCGGGAACTCGGTGCAACGAGCAACGTTTCCGCCGCCTGTTTGGAGGCTACAAAAAATAAATTGCGATTAAATGCGTTTTTTTTTTTGTCGCGTTATTTTTTCTGTAATTAATTAATCGTTAATTAGACGCGATAATTTCCAAGTCCTTAGTTATTATCAACCATTTTCGGTGGAAGTAATAAAATCAATATATAAACAACGTCTCTTTTATAAACCCACTTTATGTTTACACAATTCATTATGAAATAAAATTCAAGGCTGACTTTTAGGGTGGATGGGGAAAATTGGTTCAAGGCTGACTGATGTTTGTCAGTGTAGCTGGCATAAGGGAAATTAAAAGTTCAAGTATGACTTAAACATTGAGACCTTTTTTCTATCATAGTTGTGGCTGATCAAATAGTCTGAGAAAGGGGCACAACAACAACAAGAACTGCCTAAAGAACTACGTGAGATTGGAGAACATTAGTACAAGATCTCAGTTGTCAGTGACTTTATTTCCTGTAAATCAGCTGCTTTCACGCTGATGTTTCGCCACTGTGCAACCCACCCCCATCCTCCTGCGAGTGAACAGTTTTTTTTTATTTTGGGTTGGAAGGTGAAGCCCCATTTCCCCTATTTCTGCTTTCAATTTGGCTGCTGACTCGTACATATCTCCACTCCTTCATAGCATAAAAACCTTAACCAACTGACAGCAATGAGTCAATAAGAGGCGGGTTCTAGCAAAGTAGACATACTGTCATAAATATCCTGTTATGGCACCACTAAAGAGTAGACAGAGAGAGATGAGCAGGAGAGACACTGTGTTTGAGCTCATTCCAGGTTTGAAATACACCACAGAAGAGGGAACAGGAAGATGGGTAGGTGTTTCTGTAATTTTTCCTGTTCGTAGAACTTGACTTGAATGTGCTTTAGTGGTATAAAACGCACCTAAAAAAAGTAAGAATGCTTATTCACATAGTGGTGTCCTAATTACCTTTATATTAAATGTTTGTATGTGTCAAAGGTAATATTACAGCACAAGCCTACGCTGTATATTATCTCTGTCATTCTATTTTTCATTTGTAGTTTTTGCGGGTCCTGTAGTGACAGGAATGCTATAAAATGTACATGTAACTGTAAAGTACATTGAGGTCCCTCCCATAAATTTGTGGTAAAAAAATTTTTTTTTGGCAAGGTTCATGGAGACATCATGAAAGTTGAACTACGGGTGCTTCGCAGAAAAGCAGACTAAGCCAGGGACAGTCCTGGGATACTGCAGTAACACTGCCAGATAGATAAACAGGCAGCTGATTTGATGCCAAAAATAGTTGAAAAAGTAATCCTTGTAGTCTAAGGTCTATGGATTCGAAAGGGACATTTTTGCATTATGGCGCATGAATCCTGTTCTGGTTTTCTCTCCCTAAAGGTGTGAAGGCATCACACACCATGGCACAGACTGATGCAGGCAGAATGGAAAAGTACAGGTCTAAAATCAACAAAGTAGGAGGAAGTTGTGGAATTGATCCGGCTCTCATTGCTGCCATCATTTCCAGAGAATCCAGGGCTGGAAATGAACTAACTAATGGCTGGGGAGATGGGGGTAATGCCTGGGGACTGATGCAGGTTGTAATAAATGCTACTGTTTTACTCACATCCTCTTAGTAGAGTGTCACATTACAATACAATAACACCAGTGTTCATCCCATTTCTGTAGGTTGATGTTAATCCAAATGGAGGTGGACACACTGCAAAGGGTGCATGGGACAGTGAGGAACACCTCACCCAAGCAACGGGGATCTTGGTTGATTTTATCAAACGGATCCGCAGCAAATTTCCTGGCTGGACCCCAGAACAGCAGCTGAAAGGTTAATTTTACTGAACCAGTAGATTCGCTCTATACTCTTAAGTCTCTTTGATTAGCTTTGTTCTCATTTGTATTTGTCTCTGCAGGAGGGATCGCAGCCTACAATATGGGGGATGGAAGCGTCCATTCCTATGAAAATGTGGATGGCGGCTCAACAGGTGGAGACTACTCTAATGATGTTGTTGCCAGAGCTCAGTGGTACAAAACTAATAAAGGCTTTTAACAGCTGAAGGTGTTCACAACAAAATTCTTCAAAACATATCCTACAAATCATAAAGAAAACACTCTGTAATGTGTGCTGTGTGCCAAATAAACCAGATGCAAAGCAAAACCTCAAAATGATATCTGTATTTCATTGGGCCCCCCTTTCAGCCCGTTGAACTTCTTGTTTGTGATCATCTGCAAAAAGTACAGAAAGGGAAAGCATTCAGTGTTGCCTTGTGTAGCTGAACTGCCACTCACATTCAGTAGTACTACATCATTTACTTACAGCTGCACTGACGATTCATTCTAGCTGTTGGTTTCAGCTGCTTTCAAAGTGAGAGATGTAATGAAATCATGTGTCACCAGTTTGTGTTGAAGCCACAACAACAATTTCCACAATGTTAAATCTGTGTACTGTAGACAGAAAGTGAAAGTTCAGCTGCACAGAAACCTTGGAGTTCTCCCCTCACATGATCACAGATCTACAGAGAATATGGACAAATCATGTGGGGAAATAAAAGGCTGAATGTTGACTCGGCTGTGTCAGTCAGTGGTAGGTGCAGTGGTTACAATCATTAATGTAGAGTCAGTGTGTAATTATGCTGAAACCAGTAGCTAGAATGATTCTAGCTACTGGTTTCAGCTGCTTTCAAAGTGAGAGATGTAATGAAATCATGTAGTGTCATCAGTTTGTGTTGAAGCTACATTTCCACAATGTTAAATCTGTGTACTGTAGACAGAACGTGAAAGTTTAGCTGCATATACACCTTGGAGAGGTTGAAAGGCGTTTAAATATAAAATATAAACAACTATAGCTTGAGATGGAAGATTTGACTTCATCATAACAACAACAACACATTCATTAGCTTAATGTCCTGAATGTGTTTTCGCTAGTAAAAGGCTGAATGTTGATTCGGCTGTGTCAGTCAGTGGTAGGTGCAGTTGTGCTCTTGGTGCTTCCGCAGGTCCACTTTGTGCTGGAAGCCGTAGAAGCCACAAAAAAACATGAATGGTCCTATCTAAATGTTACACACTGGACCTATCTTATTGTATTGTTAAAATGCAAAATGGTAGGATCCCATGTTCCCTTAACTGACGGACTTCCTGAGAAAAGTGTCAGTCTGCCTGCATTGCCGTTTCAGATTCTAAAAAAAAAAATTTAACAATTAGACATCCTACATAGTTAAAGAGAATTTCACCTCACAAAAAATAAAACAGCATAAATGTATCTGATAATCCTACTTATAATTCAATTTCCTTGTGGGAGTAATCCCAAAAGGATCAATAAAGAGAAGTCTAAGTCTAAGTCTCTAAGTCTCTAAAAAAATATTTTTAAATCAATCCATACTTTGGGCAACCCTGGTATAAATGCTTGTAAACACTAAAGACATTTGTTTGGGTCATAGACAATACTGTGAATTTGAAACTTAAACCTGGGCACCCTGGTGGTCATAAGAGAGATATACTCCACACATCAAACTGAGTTTGACAGTTTTACTACTTTGACCTTTGACCTAATGAGGGGTTAAAGTGGGTCATAAAATTCAAGTCAGGGAAGCACTGGTAGAATGTTCTGGAAAAATGAAGTGCGTAATAGACACACACATAAGTTACAGAGCAAGTGTTGGGTTAAATGTGGTTTACAATTGTGTGGTTCGTTACTTTAATCAGCATTTTATGGTCTCTTTCCAGTACAGGTCATTTAGTTTTGGTAGGATTACAACAAACAGGCTCTCGGAGGCTCTGCCATAGTCTGTAGCTATTTTAGGTTAATTTAAAGGGCAACTCTAGCCATTTCTTCGCTGGTTTTCACTTTTGTCATCGCATGTTTTCTCAACGAGCTCCCCCTACAGCTCTGGGACGTGTATTTCACAACACATCGTAAAAACAACTC